TTAAAAAGTTAAAAATAAAACTACCCTATGATCCAGAGATTTCACTACTAGGTATGTACCCAAAAAACACAAAAATACTGATTTAGAGGGATACATGCATCCTGATGTTTATAGCAGCATTATCTACAATAGCCAAACTATGGAAACAGCCCAAGTGTCCACTGACAGAAGAATGGATAAAGAAGATGTGATACAAAGATACAGATGTAGTGAAAAGAAGGACCATCTGTACCCCAATGTTCATAACAGCGATGGCCACAGTCACCAAAATGAAAAGAACCAAGATGCCCTTCAACAGACTAATGGGTAAGGAAGATATGGTCCATATATACAACGGAGTATTATGCTTCCATAAGAAAGGATGAATACCTAACTTTTGTATCATCATGGATGAGACTGGAGGAGATTATGCTGAGTGAAATAAGTCAAGCAGAGAGAGTCAAGTATCATATGGTTTCACTTACTTGTGGAGGATAAGGAATAACACAGAGAACATGGGAAGATGGAGAGGAGAAATGAGTTGGGGGAATTTGGAGGGGGTGATGAATCACGAGAGACTGTCGACTCTGGGAAACAAACTGAAGGGTTTTGGAGGAAAGAATGGTGGGGGGTTGGGCAAACCTGGTGGTGGGTACTATGGAGGGCATGTATTGCATGGAGCACTGGGTGTGGTACATAAACAATGAATTCTGAAACACTGAAAAAATAAATAAAAATTTAAAAAAAAGAAGATGTGATACACACACACACACACACACACACACACACACAATGGAATGTTACTCAGCCATGAAAAGAATGGAATCTTGCCATTTGCAATGATGTAGTTGGAGCTAGAGAGTATTACGCTAAACAAAATAAATCAGTCAGAGAAAGACAAATACCATATGATTTTACTCATAAAAATAAAAATAATTAATGTCCATGGGGCACGTGGGTTGCTCAGTTGGTAAAGCTTCTGTCTTCAGCTCAGGTCATTATCTCAGGGCCTTGGGAAGGAGTCCTACAGCAGGCTCTCTGCTCTGCAGGGGGATCTGCTTCTCCCTCTCCCTCAGCCCCTGCTTGTGTGCTCTCTCTCTCATTCACTCTTTCTCACTTAAATAATTAAATAAATAAATAAAAATTTCTTTTAAAAAAAGAATTAATGACCAGAATTTAAAGAGTAGTGAGAATATAACAATAAAAAGACAAGCAATCCAATTGAAAAGTGGACAAAGGATTTGAATAGCCATTTCTCCAAAGTTCTCAAATAGTAACAACATAAAAAAAGTACTCAACGTCAACATCATTAGTCATTAGGGAAAGGCAAATTACAACTACAGTGAGATAGCACCACCCTCACTGTCTATAATGTCCATAATTTGTTTTTTAGTGGAAAATAATAAGTGTTGAAAAGTATATGGAGAAATCATAATCCTCATACATTGCTGGTAAGAATGTAAGATGGTGTACTCACTGTGGAAAACAATTTGACAGTTTCTCAAACACTTAATCATAAAATTATCATATGGCCCAAAAATTCTACTCCTAAATAGGAGTCCCAAGAGGACTGGAAACATATTTTTACACAATAACTTGTACATAAATGTTTATAATAGCATTGCTCATAATAGCCAGAAAGTGAAAAACAGCCAAACTATCCCTCTGTTAATGAATGAATAATAAAATATGCCATAGTCCTTCCATGGAATATTACTAAGCAATAAAAAGATAAGGAATGCTGCATGTGCCTCAACACAGCTGGTCTTTGAAAACATTATGCTAATTGAAATAATATACACAAAAATGGCTGCATAATTCCATTTCTATGAAATATTCAAAATAGTCATATCCCTGGAGATAGATTAGAAACTGCCTGGGAAGGAGGATAAGGGAGAACTGGGATTGGTTATTGATAGGGTTTCCTTTTGAGATGCTGGAAATGTTCTAGATTTAGTGGTGATGCTTTTATAACACTGTGAACGTACCACAAACCACTAAATTGTACAATTTAAAATGGTGAATTTTATGTAATGTTAATTATATTTAAAAAGGTTAATAAACTCTTGAGGAATGGTAGAAGACACTTCCCTACCAGATGCCAAGGTATACTACAAAGTTACATTATGTGAGATGGTGTGATGTAGACAAATAGTCAAATGCAATACATTGACATTTAGAACAAAGCCAACCATCTATGGGCACTTAACTTATGCAAAACTAGCATTGTAGAGCAGTAAGAAAAGTTAAGATATTTTCAATAAATTTTGTTGAATCAATTTGTAAAATGATGAAATTGTTCTCCAACTCACAAAAAAAACCATTAATTTCAAATTTGTTTTTTATCATATATGAGACACGAAAGAATGATAACATAACAAAACTTTTAGGAGAATGTAGAGAATAAACAGGACACAAAATAAAAATAGATTGTTAAATTTGTAGTAAAATTAAGAATTAATGTTCAACAAAAGTCACAACTAGTGAGTAAAAGTTTGAGCTGTGAGTGGGAAGTGTATTTTCACCACATGTAACAAGCAAAGGGCTCATAACTAGAAGACATAAAACACTTCTACAAATTAATATGGAGAAGACAACCCACAGAAAATGGAAAGAAAATTGAAAATATTTGCTTAGTATATATAAACAAACACATATGTACATACATGACTAATACATGAAAATACACTAAAACTCAATAATCACAAAAATGTAAAATTATATTCTTCTGCACAGTAAACTAATGACTAAAATCAAACAGAATACCCATTTTTGGGTGAATGTGTGAAACAATAGCAACTCTCATACATTATTTGGCAAGATCTTCTAAAGTAGAACATATGCACATTTTATGACATAGTAATTTACTCCTATGAAATATCCAACATATACACATGCTTTAAAGGATGCTCATAGAATTATTTGTAATTACTAAAAAAAGAGAAACAATCTTTTTATCTGCCAAAAGAGGATTGAGCATATAGATGGTGTAATATTTGTACAACGGAATATTACAGAGTAATACAAATTACTGACAGCTACAAGGTCCAAGACAAGTGAATTTCACAAGTGTGGTGCTAAGGGAAAGAAACTAGACATAGAAGAAAATGTAGTATTTGATTCCAATTATATAAAATTCAAAGCTAAGGCAAAATGAAACTATAGAATGATCAAAAACTCTGGAAACATTAAGTAGCAATATATAATACATAATTTATTGAGATGGCAATACACAATGCATTCAAGGACATGACATGATCTGTTCAAAGAGCCAGCCCTCTCTGGCAATGCAGAATCTTTATATCCTGCAAACACAGGCTGAACATGTGGTGTCCATGCTGCACTTCCACAAATCCCCACATATGCATCTGTGTTGTCTCAGATGGTTTGTATGTTCACTTGAACCTGTGCTTTAACATAACCCACAGGAGATAAGCAAGTGGGTTCAAACTCTGTGTGTGTGTGTGTGTGTGTGTGTGTGTGTATACTGTGTACATACATGCGTCTGTGTACACAATGTGTATGTATTTGTGTGTATGCTGTATGTATAAGTATGTGATTATATATTAGGCATATATGCTGTGTGTATGTCTGCGTATATATATGTGTGTAAACATGTTCACACTGTGACCAAAGGCTGGGGACTTCTGGTGTCAGCCATGTTCTTGTTCTTTGTGTGCTGATTACAAAAGTGTTTACTTTCTGATAATCTACTGAGCTTTATACATTAGTACTTCTGCAAATTTCTTGTGTGGTTTTCAACTGACAACAAATAAATGACTTAAAATATGAAAATTGGCTTTTAGGCTTGGGAATAAGATCCTAGAACAGAGGCTTCTAGAATACAGTATCCACTTTACATTGGTGAAGACATGCTAAGTAATTCAAAGAACTCTGTCATGAGACAACAGAATGGATTACTTGCTCCACCTAAGTGAAGTGTTAGTCCTCTCAACCGATTCTAGGTCCTAGAGAAGGAATTTTTAATAAATTCATTCTGGGTCATTTGTTACCAGTTAGTGATCCAGCATTATAGATATAATTCTGACCGGAGAACCTAATATAAATGCTCTGAGAATAAGGGGGAAGTCACTTACCCGTATGCACACAAAACCCTAGACATAGTGTCAATTCTTTTTCTTCATTTATTATATTTTCCATTCTTTTTCAAAGGAAGATATGTGTTTCAACACTTGTACAAAATGTAATTTCAAACTTGATTCCCAGGTCAGAAAGAAAAGGTGATCATCAAATGTTTAAAAAAAAAACTTTATTTTATAATAAAATGGTTAGAAGTTCAATATTTCTGCTCAAACACAGAGAACGGCAGGCATATTTACAAAAGGCCTCACAATGTTTGCCATTGCCTTTACACAAGACAACATTTATAAAACCTCCGCATCCCATGGCAGGTGCTGGGTCTTCTCTTGGGGATTTCTGCTGTTCAGATATTGTCTTTCATTTGATCTTCAAAAACCTTTAAAAAATAGAAGCTGCGTTTCAATATAATTTGAAAATTAAAACTCTTTTATTTTTATCATTGTAATATCTTCCATGGATTTACTTTTCAAAAATGAATCAAAGCCCAAACTAATTGCTGTCTGATAGCTAGCAAAGGCAGAAAAATTGGAAAAGCTTTTAAAAATGAAGCTTTGGTTTGCCTCACTCACAGGAAAATTGAATGCAAGTAATAAATAGAGAATTTGAAGTATGTTTAATAATGATATTGCCCTCTTCCATTGAGAACTTAAAGAATAAAACTGAAGAACTGCTATGGTCACCTGGATAATTGGAAATCTGATTTTTGGAGCAAGACTGCATTCCTTTTCTTTGTTTTAATGGCATAATAAGATTTCAAATAAACACATTAAGTGAAAACATTTTTTCACCTATGAAACTGATTTCCTGAAGTATTCTCATCAGTCTGTAATACTTGTGATGATTTTGTAGAATTATAAAATTTTATTGCATGTGTTTTTTTTTAAAGAAACCTAAAATATCCCCCCTTATTATTTTTATAGGCTTGAATTCCTGGGATCATCTGGTGACTTCAAGAATCTGGTAAGACACTTTTTTTTAATGTAGCTTTATCAATATTTTCGTTTTATTTGCCACAAATCTTTGGAGGATTTTTGTTTTTGTTTTTGCTTAGTCTTAATCCATTTTCTTAATTCTCCCTCATTTCCATCATCTGTAGTTGAATCTCAGAAGGCCAACTGAAGGTCAGTTGCATCTTAGTGCATTTAGAATGATTGGATAAATCCAGATACTACTTCCAGATTCAACTTCATGGGTCAGGAAATTATTCCAAGGAGTGGTAGCATTTGTTCCTTAAGGAAATAAAACTCACCATGGAAAGAATCTGAGATAAGAGGATTATTCAGGTAAAAGGTAGAAAGCATTAATTAGAAAATTTTTCTTTTAATATTAAATGCAACAGTTGCATCTTGGATAAAAACCATGGGGTCTGAATATGATGACTGGATTATAATTTTTTTTTGTTGCTACAATGTTGGTATTAAGGTTTACATAATATAAAACTAGAAACATACTGAAGACACTGCTCTTTTCACATGGAAACTTTTAAATTTCTTATGGCATTTGCCTGGTACATAGACATGGGAAAGATAAATTGTTTCATTAAAAAGCTGAGATGTTAAGGTATAATTTTTTCTATTGCAACCTAACCCTAAGCTTAACCCTAAAATGAATAAATCTTAGAATCTACAGAGTCTTTTTATTTTTCTCCAAATATTATTGAAAGTTTGACATTCAAATTAATATGTTGGGATCCTATTATGTTCTGAATCTCTGCAAGATTATAAAACATTTTATCTCATGTTCTCTTATTTAATTTTCTAAAAAATAATCTATCTTGGATTTTTATTCTTGTGCAGACTGGGAGTCCCACATTATTTTTAAATTTCTAGAATCACTTTTCTATAATACCCAGCTGAGTGTAGTATGAAATTCCATCTTGACAGATTGCAAGAGTACTGTCTTAAACACCATTCTATATTAATAACTGGTTATTGCTTGGTTAGAATGGGAGGGTGGTTAGAGTTCAGCACATCTTTTTGTTGTGCATTACCTCTTGCTCCCAAATGTTTTCCATGGTTTCTCAACTAGTACCTTCTGGCCATCTTCTCATGACTTTTCTATGCAACTTCAAACTATCCCAGTCTACACCTTCTGCCAAACAGTAACAGAGTAAACTGTCATATTTAAAAACTATTACTGAAGACTTAGTTTAAGCTAACAGAATTATAGCACAAAAAAGGGAAATTTAAACTTGTATCAGGTCCTACTGCTCCTGAAACCACTGGGTATGCATTCCCAAAGGGGATGGCATTCTTACTTCTTTCCTCAGCACCAACACTCAAATGTATTGTCCAGGTCCACATCCCTTCCAGCAGAATCCACTTTGGTGTTCCTTCTATTTGAGTCAGGCCATTTAAGTGTAGACTAGATTAATGTTTTAATGGCCTGCCAGCATTTTACCCAGCCTACAAAGAAGACCAATTGCTCTTTATCATGCAGACTTTTCCTAGGTATGAGTAGGATATTGCATTACCTTCAGTTAAAGCTATATTGAACTTGCTCCCAAACAACTCTGGGTCACATATTTAGCCATAAATAGGAGCAACAGAAACTCGAAGGTTTTATTTTTCCTTAGCAGTTTGTACAACTCCTGATCACATTTTCAGGTACTGGTTATGCTCAGGATGAGAATGAGGATTAGCCTCCCAACCCTTCAGTACTTTGTGGGAATGGGAAGCTTCGCTTAAGCATTTTTGGGGAAGGATCTTACAGACAGCAGAAATTTCATGTCCCCATGTCCAGCATTATATATTTCAGAGTTCCTGTATTTTTCTAACCCTAAGCCTTTTCTTATTTATATTAGTGGAACTTCTTCTTGTAGTTATCCTTTATCTTAATTCCACTTTCTTTCCTCATTTAAATTGTCAGTGTGTTCTTCCCAATTCTGATTATCACAGTTCATTATCTTTTGGATTTTCTTCCATCTTGTAATTCATCTCATTTGTAATCCGTGTCTCACAAAATAGAGAGATGATTCATTCTAAAAGAACACTCTCAGACTTATATATCTCACTGTGTTTCTTGTTTTTGTTTTTTTTTTTTCTCCTAATCTGCTGTGTAAGATATAATGGAGTCCCACCACACTTATTCAAAGGAATCTTCCTTGAGTACAAACCAGGAAACTCAAAGCTGGTCACATTGCTCAGCTCTTTCCTTTCTCATCCCCCATTGTCACTATTTCTGCTTCTGTGAACAGAGTGATCTTCCGATCTACCCATATACCCGCTTTCTATTCATCCCTCAGTGTGTAGTTTAACTCCCATTTTCTCCTGGAGTCTTCATTTTTAAAAATATTGTAGTTTGATCTTCCCTCCCCAAACTCTGTATTTTCAGGATCACAAATTTCAGCACTTTACCTTATAATGTCACATGCTCTAAGGTTCTTTTGTTATGTATTTTCTACTCAGCAATTTTGCAAGCTTTTAAATGAGGTAACAATGTCATTTTGTATTGTTTATTATGGCTTACATAACAGATTTCTCTGTTTCATAGTTTTTGAAGAAATATTTTCAGTTGACTAACTTGTTTTGTCTCACCTACACTTATAAAGACCAAATCCAAAATTAATTTCTATAATTGTTTGCTTCTATCCAATTATGACTTTCAAAGGAAAGTGATATGAACATGGAAGACAATTAATAGTATTACCTGAAACAAATTTTGCATTATATGATTCATTCTAGAAAATTCTCTTTAGAGTAACATTCAAAGAAAAGAAAATAAGTATAAAATTTAAATCAGAATAGTACTGAAAAATAAATGATAATACACAAGGTGTTACAAAGTAAATAGTTAAAAATATACTCTATTCAATTATGATAACTCTCAAGCTAAAAAAGTAACTTTTACTCTGGAACTAAATGCCAGCAATAAAAATTCACTTTAATAGAGCAGAGCTAACATTTCCTACATTGAAGATGAAACTATTTACAGGAAATCATATTGTAGCATTTTTTTCACTTATACAAGATAATGTGTTTAATTCTTACAATTCACTGAATTTTGTATCTGTGTGTGCAATTGCAGCAATCTGTTCCAATTCATAAATTTTATTTTCTGCACCTGGAGTTTGGACCTTTTAAGAGGTCAGAATAATAACATATGCACAATTATGTATGGTTGAAGGGAATTCATATTTTTAAGCAGTCATTATATATCAGGTGTTAGGCTAGTTGCTTTTTCTGTGTAGTCTCATGTCAACCTTCTAATCATACTTTGAGTCATACGTTTTGGCCACCATTTTAGAACTAGAATACTAAGGATTAGAGAGGTTAATTATTTCACATGTAATCACTTAGTAAATTAAGATACTGAGATTTCAGTTTATGCCTAGCACTCCAAAGACTCCAATGAGATGCCTTCCCAAAGAAAACTTATCCCAGTAAGCTTTTAATAAAACCTAATTCTACATGTATTGGAGTAATAACCCTGAAAGTTGATACATAAGTGGTTAAAAAGAGATTTATTCTTTGTACTTGCACAGTTATTTGAGAAGATGAAAGCTTGCTTATTTTAATTCCAAGGCAGAAAAATTGTTAGAGTGTGCCCAAATTGTGTGTGTGTGTCTGTGTGCATGTGTATCTTTTATGTCATATGTATATCTCTTATATATCTTTTATGTCATATATGTCTAGCTGTATCTATCATATATATGATGTACAGATATATGATAGAAATATTCATGTATATACCTGTGTCATTAATAACAAAAGCAGAATCTATGGAAACCCACATAATCTTCCATGTTTGGACAATGGTGATTAATGTATACTTTATTGTCTCATTCATGTTCTCAGGTTTTAATGCAAATTTTATGTAAATTTGTTCATCCTGAATTTTTTTTTTAACAGTATTACAGGCAACCTGCAAATTGCACTCATGTGCTTAGCATTAGTCATGGAATTTCTTTGAAGTAATATAAATTATTCAACTGGAGTACTGCATCTTCCAGGAATTGAGTGCTAGCCTCAATATAGAGGGTTTAAAAATATTTTTTGGGCACATGCCACAGTATCTTGATGTTGTAAATTACCCCCACCCCTTGAAAATTAAATGTCTGGTATTAACATATTGTGTGTTTTGTGAGTTTCTTAGGTTGTATGTAAACATTGAAGGGAAAAACCACACACATATGTCTACTCATAGGTTTGAATTAGTATATCAAGATAATCTGTTAATTTTAAAGCAATATACTGTTACTGAAACTGTTTACTGTCAGTATGCTATCCTGATGTGAATTTTCATGAAGTGAACATAAATCCCATGGCCAGAGACCAAAGGAAGGATTCATAGTCACAGAAATTCATTTCTCCATGCATCTCTTCACAGTTTGTTGATTAACTTACTTACGCAAACAGTCTGATAAAGGTTGGGTGATAGAAAAACAATACAACATGACCCTGACTTCAGGGATCATCGTTTTATGTGTTCTATGTAATTGTGCTGCTTTTACTTTTTTTTTTTTTTTTTTTTTTGAAACCTGGCATTGTTTAAAATTCCGAGCTTTATTTTAGACCTTGCATTGTCTCCCTTTACCTTGCTGGGATAGCAGATTATTGGAACCAGGAGGATAGTGTGAGAAATGTTGCTAGTGCACATCAGTATCTGGGTTTCCTTTCACTGTTGAGCCTGAAGGAGATTATATTCCACCTTCCAGTTTGGTGGGGTCATGGGGTTACTTCTAGCTAGGGAAAAATGGGAATGTGCTTTTCTATGCTCTCTGCCTCTGCACAAGAGCTATCAACTTGAAATAGTGGGGCTATAAGAGTAAATCATCCTGAATCCTTGACTCACTGATGAAAGACAGCTGCTGTGGCAAATCCTTCAATTCCACAGCCAGCTGAGAAGATTAGGAAGTGTTATTTTGTCTTAAACTACTGAGGACATTTTGATGTGTTTTGGGTTTTTTGTTTTTGTTTCATTTTTTATTTGGTTTCATTATAGCAACAAGTCTGCCAAAACT